TGTTGGCTAAACATAACCACGTGTGTGTGTTGGCTAAATGTAACCTCGTTTGTGTGTTGGCTAAATGTAACCACGTGTGTGTGTTGGCTAAATGTAACCACGTGTGTGTGTTGGTTAAATATAACCTCGTGTGTGTGTTGGCTAAATGTAACCACGTGTGTGTGTTGGCTAAATGTAACCACGTGTGTGTGTGTGTTGGCTAAACGTAACCACGTGTGTGTGTTGGTAAAATATAACCTCGTTTGTGTGTTGGCTAAACGTAACCACGTGTGTGTGTGTTGGCTAAATGTAACCGTGTGTGTGTTGGCTAAATGTAACCTCGTTTGTGTGTTGGCTAAATGTAACCACTTGTGTGTGTTGGCTAAACATAACCACGTGTGTGTGTTGGTTAAATGTAACCTCCTTTGTGTGTTGGCTAAATGTAACCACGTGTGTGTGTTGGCTAAACGTAACCACGTGCGTGTGTTGGCTAAACGTAACCACGTGCGCGTTGGCTTTACGTAACCACGTGTGTGTGTTGGCAAAATATAGCCGCGTGTTTGTTGTTGAAGGAAAAAAAATATCAGTTGGTAGTGTTGTACCTACGCAGTGCTTTTATTTTGAAAGAGACTGTATGCAAACTGTACATTTCCTGTGAAAACAGAAGTGTATTTTGAAAACAGACAATGCATGTAACAGGCTGAAGTTGACACGGCGTCCCAGAACGTCAACAACCAACACACCCAGGGTACCTTGGACGTCATATGTGGACATGTGACGAGGTCACAGTGAGGACGTGTTGGATTGGTCGAACGAGTGTGTAGGTGGAAACTCGATACATCCTGAGACTGTGACCGCTCAGACTCGGGCTCCAAAGATGTCACCATGGCGGCTGTATCAGGATATTTTGGCTTAATTTTCGTACAGCAGGAGGTAGAGGAGACTCTTCGTCCATCTTTATTTACAGGCTCCAGGCGTCTGTTGAAAATCCTACGATGCTTTTGGGGATGTAAAGAGGAAATGTAATGTTGCCATGGGCACCATTCAGAGGGAGCTGAGTGTGTGAGCCGCTCCTGATTCAGCTGAAGAAACCCGACTGATGGACTGTTGTGGACGGACATCAGAGAGAAGGAGTCACACTGAGTGACATCATGATGTGTTTCCCACATGTGAAGGGTTAACTTTGGTTTTTATCAACCAGATCTAGTGACTGTTTTTCTTCATGGTCATCCTGTCTGAGTCAAACATTGTGTTTACTCTCAGCAGCTGCTCTGCCAGAAGCTAAGCTAAGCTAAGCTAAACTAAGCTAAGCTACAACCTGACAGATCATCAGAGAAATGAGCCGTGTGTCAGAGTGTGTGTGAGTTCTGACCTTGGGTGGCGATGTAGTGATTGGGTCTGTGGTAGCCCTGCGAGGAGAGAGGAGACACAACAATCAAACCACTGTCACATAACACGGTGACAACATGTGACCTCAGAGAGTAGACACCTCAGACTGCCATCAGTCTGTCAGTTTTGGACGTGAGGAGAAACTTCCTGTCGTCCACTCAAACACAGTTTCAAGGCACAGATTTTTGAAAATGCCTCCTGAAGAGCAGAATAACACATTTTCGTATCAGCTGATCCTTATCAGTTAAAAAATGTCTTCATCGGCGCCGACAGCGACCAGTGACATCATACTGGGATGGTTTAGTCTTCAGCATCCAAGTACCAAAAGACGTTCAAGGCAAACGTGAGTGACTGAGGACATTGTGCCTTGCGGGGACTGTCCACAATGTCCTCACAGTGCAGAAACATCCTCACAATGTTGGTAAACACTCACAGACTGACTTCAAGCAGAGACAAATTTCCTCTCTAAGTTTGTTTACAGAGTCAACACCAACCAACACTAACTGATGACGGCCGTCGCCATGGAAACAGAGTTGACCAGGACGTTCCACATCGACCTTTAGAGGAAAGAAAACTGTGTGTGTGTGTTACTCACGTCGACATAGTTGGCATTGATGTAGTCGGAGCCGCTCTCTCCGTCCTGAGGCTGCAGACGCACACGAGAATGGTCATCTAAGACACACACACACACACACACACACACACACACACACAGTTAATTGGTGGGCTTGTCGTGGTGGTGAAGCTGAGCATAATCACCTCTAATTAGGTTCTGCTGCGTAAACGATGTAATAATAAATTAATAAGCACTTCATTAGCTGGTTCTCATCAACACAGATTCATTTACATCCTCATAATCACATCCAACATAACAAACAAACAAACAAACAAACAAACATGAAGCTTCATCATTTTTTTGTGTCTCATAACGAGACAGATTTCATTCTCGTCTTTGTTCATGAGCAAACATGAAGTTGAACACATGATGCGTCCATGTTTGGAACCGTAGAAATGTTCCCATCCTAATAAACACCCTGAGGATGGAAAACAAGAAGTAAATAAATAAAAACAAATAAAAACAAATTCACAATAAACACTGTCAAAAACAACATCTGTGACATTAGAGGTGGCGAAATAATCTATTCTCATGTTTGTGTCAGACTCCACAATTACAGCCCGACGTGACTTCAGTCTTACGGTGTCGGCTCGGGTCGGGAACGACACCGAGTGTTGTACATGATAATCCTTCGTTTCATCTGGTGTAGTGTGTCATAGCAGATGACGACCGACGCCACGTCTGGGACGCCTCACAACGTCCTGACAGAAAGTCTAGCATGTTCGATTTTCATTTTGTCTTCCATGACTTCTCGCGTCACAGACGGCAGCGTCCAAAGGGACAACAGAAACACATTTGGGACACAGTCTCTGATGAGTGGATGCAGTAAACTCATTGGACGAAGGTAAACTGTGACGTTCTCATGATGCGTTCACTGTAACCCTGTAAAATGTAGTTTTTGGTGATAAATGAGCTGTTTGAAGGAGAAATGTGTCAGTGTTTCCACAGAAATATATAACAGACATTAGAGACAGAAATATGAAATATTATCTCCAGTCAAACACGTATTAAATGTTTTAAATATTCTAAATGTCTTCATGTGAGAGAAGGTCATACTGAAAGTCCTACTGAAGGTGGTACTGAAGGTCATACTGATGGTCACACTGAAGGTTGTACTGAAGGTCATACTGAAGGTCATACGGAAGGTCCTACTGAAGGTCATACTGATGGTCATACTGAAAGTCCTACTGAAGGTGGTACTGAAGGTCCTACTGAAGGTGGTACTGAAGGTGGTGCTGAAAGTCCTACTGAAGGTCATACTGAAGGTGATACTGAAGGTCATGCTGAAGGTGGTACTGAAGGTCATACTGAAGGTCATACTGAAGGTGGTACTGAAGGTCATACTGAAGGTCCTACTGAAGATGGTACTGGAGGTCATACTGAAGGTGGTACTGAAGGTCATACTGAAGGTGGTACTGAAGGTCATACTGAAGGTGGTACTGAAGGTCATACTGAAGGTGATACTGAAGGTCATACTGAAGGTGGTACTGAAGGTCATACTGAAGGTGATACTGAAGGTCATGCTGAAGGTGGTACTGAAGGTCATACTGAAGGTCATACTGAAGGTGGTACTGAAGGTCATACTGAAGGTCCTACTGAAGATGGTACTGGAGGTCATACTGAAGGTGGTACTGAAGGTCATACTGAAGGTGATACTGAAGGTCATACTGAAGGTGGTACTGAAGGTCATACTGAAGGTGATACTGAAGGTCATGCTGAAGGTGGTACTGAAGGTCATACTGAAGGTCATACTGAAGGTGGTACTGAAGGTCATACTGAAGGTCCTACTGAAGATGGTACTGGAGGTCATACTGAAGGTGGTACTGAAGGTCATACTGAAGGTGATACTGAAGGTCATACTGAAGGTGGTACTGAAGGTCATACTGAAGGTGATACTGAAGGTCATGCTGAAGGTGGTACTGAAGGTCATACTGAAGGTCATACTGAAGGTGGTACTGAAGGTCATACTGAAGGTCCTACTGAAGATGGTACTGGAGGTCATACTGAAGGTGGTACTGAAGGTCATACTGAAGGTGATACTGAAGGTCATGCTGAAGGTGGTACTGAAGGTCATACTGAAGGTGATACTGAAGGTCATGCTGAAGGTGGTGCTGAAGGTCATACTGATAGTCACACTGAAGGTGGTACTGAAAGTCCTACTGAAGGTGGTGCTGAAGGTCATATTGAAGGTCATACTGAAGGTGGTGCTGAAGGTCATACTGAAAGTCCTACTGAAGGTGGTGCTGAAGGTCATACTGATGGTCACACTGAAGGTGGTACTGAAGGTCATACTGAAGGTGGTGCTGAAGGTCCTACTGAAGGTGGTGTTGAAGGTCATACTGAAGGTCACACTGAAGGTGGTACTGAAAGTGGTACTGAAGGTCATACTGAAGGTCACACTGAAGGTACTACTGAAAGTCCTACTGAAGGTCATACTGAAGGTGGTGCTGAAGGTCATACTGAAGGTGGTGCTGAAGGTGGTACTGAAGGTGGTGCTGAAGGTGGTACTGAAGGTCCTACTGAAGGTCATACTGAAGGTGGTGCTGAAGGTCCTACTGAAGGTCATACTGAAGGTGGTGCTGAAGGTCCTACTGAAAGTCCTACTAAAGGTGGTGCTGAAGGTCATACTGAAGGTGGTGCTGAAGGTCATACTGAAGGTGGTACTGAAGGTGGTGCTGAAGGTCCTACTGAAAGTCCTACTAAAGGTGGTGCTGAAGGTCATACTGAAGGTCATACTGAAGGTGGTACTCAAGGTGGTATTGACGGTCCGACTGAAGGTACTACTGAAGGTACTACTGAAGGTCATACTGAAGGTGGTACTGAAGGTGGTACTGAAGGTAGTACTGAAGGTCATACTGAAAGTCCTCCTGAAGGTGGTGCTGAAGGTCATACGGAAGGTCCTACTGAAGGTCATATTGATGGTCATACTGAAAGTCCTACTGAAGGTCATACTGAAGGTCCTACTGAAGGTGGTACTGAAAGTGGTGCTGAAAGTCCTACTGAAGGTGGTACTGAAGGTCATACTGATGGTCACACTGAAGGTTGTACTGAAGGTCATACTGAAGGTCATACGGAAGGTCCTACTGAAGGTCATACTGATGGTCATACTGAAAGTCCTACTGAAGGTGGTACTGAAGGTCCTACTGAAGGTGGTACTGAAGGTGGTGCTGAAAGTCCTACTGAAGGTCCTACTGATGGTCACACTGAAGGTGGTACTGAAGGTTGTACTGAAGGTCATACTGAAGGTTGTACTGAAGGTCATACTGAAGGTGGTGCTGAAGGTCATACTGACGGTAACACTGAAGGTTGTACTGAAGGTCAATGTAAGTCTCCAGTCAGGTCCAAAAAGGACCCAGGTCATGACCTGCAATTCTTGAGTCAAGTCCCAAGTCAGGACCAGAAAGGTCCCAGGTCATGACCTATAAGTCTCGAGTCAGGTCCAACAACCAAGGTCATGATCTGCAAGTCTCAAGGCAAGTCTTGAGTCAAGACCCAAGTTAGGACCAAAAGGACCCAGGTCATGACCTGCAAGTCTCGAGTCAGGACTATGGAGACAAGATAAGTTTGTCGTAGTTGAAGATTTAATGTCCCACACTTGTTAAGACACGAGGGCTCTAATTAAACAATGTTCACAAGATGAGCTGAAATCGAGTCCCAAGTCAAACCGCAGTTCCAGTTCCAAAGGAGGTGGGGCTAATACTGCAACAGTCCTCTGGTGACCTGGTGATCAGTAATGTGAGCTGCAGGTTGGGCACACCTGAGGTCTCACTGATCAGTTTGAATCATGAGTTACTATCATGTGTCTCTGGCAGGACGTGGCGTCCACCACCTTGCATTCAGCATGATGAAGAGTGTGCGCGTACGTACAGGCGATGATGTTTCCGTAGCGATTCTTCATGCGGTTCTCGTCCTTTTTGGCTGAATCCCACGGAGCAGACTGTCCCTCGAAGAAACTCTGAAAAAGACAAGAAGATGAGAGAAGAGATGAAGCAGTGAGCTGAAACTCAGCAAACCTCTTCATGAATAATGCAGAGGATGTGTTTGATTTCCTCTTTTCTCCCTGAACACACATAGGCGGCGGTTTCTGGTCGGAGCAGATGATTATGTCCAATTATGAGAAGGTGGCTCAGAGAGGAGCCGCAGGCGTCCAAACACCGCCGCGGCTGTGTATCTTTCTTTTACTGTGTTCAAACAGAGTGCGAGTTGTCGGAATGAGCTGAAACTGTGAGTCTGTGTTTGTCTCTGAGGTCAAACAGGAAACACACACAACTCTCACAGAAACACGAACTGATATCAGTCCCACGCCTCTGGGCTCTGTTCATCAAAATAATATCGACCAATCAGGTTTGAGCACCAGGTAAACATTCTTTAGCTGAACTGTAATCTGAGAGATCGTCATATATCATCTGAAAAAGTTTGGCTTCATGTAAAATAACATGTTTCATGTGAAGGTATCAGTTTTTCTGTGTGTTCATTTTGTGTCTCTTTGTGTTCATGTTGTGTCTCTTTGTGTTCATGTTGCGTCTCTTTGTGTTCATGTTGCGTCTCTTTGTGGTCATTTTGTGTCTCTTTGTGTTCATGTTGCGTCTCTTTGTGGTCATTTTGTGTCTCTTTGTGGTCATGTTGTGTGTCTTTGTGGTCATTTTGTGTCTCTTTGTGGTCATGTTGTGTGTCTTTGTGGTCATTTTGTGTCTCTGTGTTCATTTTGTGTGTCTTTGTGGTCATTTTGTGTCTCTTTGTGGTCATGTTGTGTGTCTTTGTGGTCATTTTGTGTCTCTGTGTTCATTTTGTGTCTCTTTGTGGTCATTTTGTGTCTCTTTGTGTTCATGTTGCGTCTCTTTGTGTTCATGTTGTGTCTCTTTGTGTTCATGCTGCGTCTCTTTGTGTTCATGTTGTGTCTCTTTGTGGTCATTTTGTGTCTCTTTGTGTTCATGTTGCGTCTCTTTGTGTTCATGTTGTGTCTCTTTGTGGTCATTTTGTGTCTCTTTGTGTTCATGTTGCGTCTCTTTGTGGTCATTTTGTGTCTCTTTGTGGTCATGTTGTGTGTCTTTGTGGTCATTTTGTGTCTCTTTGTGGTCATGTTGTGTCTCTTTGTGTTCATGTTGTGTCTCTGTTTTCATTTTGTGTCTCTTTGTTTTCGTTTTGTGTCTCTTTGTTTTCGTTTTGTGTCTCTTTGTGGTCAGTTTGTGTGTCTTTGTTGTTTATTGTCTCTTTGTTGTCATTTTGTGTCTCTTTGTTGTTATTTTGTGTGTCTTTGTTGTTTATTGTCTCTTTGTTGTCATTTTGTGTCTCTTTGTTGTTATTTTGTGTGTCTTTGTGGTCATTTATTGTCTCTTTGTGGTCAGTTTGTGTGGCGTGTCTTCGTTGTTTATTGTCTCTATTATTTTGCATTTCTGTGGTCGTTTTGCTTCTTAGTCGTATTTTTGCGTCTCTTTATTGTCATTTTGCGTCTCTTTGAATCAGTTTAAATGTCAGCTGATTAAAAGTGCGTCCTGATGGTGTGGATAAACACTCGGTCACGTCTCTGTGCGTGTCATCAGCGCTGAGTGTGATGAAGCAGCTCACACACACTTTGATCACAGCAGGTTGCCAGGGTCACTCATTATAATGCCTGCAGACACATGACTGTGTGTGTGTGAGAGAGTGTGTGTGCTTGTTTGATAGATGTCTGAAGCTTTTAGACTGCCGTCACACACACACACACACACACTCACACACACACACACACACACACACACACACACTCACACACACACACACACACACACACACACACTTGGTGACTGACAGCGACGAACAAAGGAAGAAAAAACAAAAGAGTGAAGAAGAGGAGAAGCAACGCCTTCAGGCTCAGACTCTGAGTCTGTTTTCACTTCACCTCCTCCCAGATGCTAATGCTAATGCTACCTGCCAGCATTAGCATTAGCATTAGCCAGGTCAAAGATCATGTCTTCTATGACCTACGAGCGACTCTTTCATCACTTCCTGTGAAACAGAGCTGAGACACTCAGTCCTGACGTGTGAGTCCTGTTTGAAACGTCGCTGTGAGTTTCACGTCTGACTCTGAAGAACATGAACATCACATTCACATGTTCACTCCGTCACTTAACTCATATGTACTGTTACTGTTTCCCGCCTGTCAGAGCCCATGTCACCTGTCATCACATGCATTTGTTACATCTGTTTATTTTTGAAACTGAAAATCTCAGCATTTCATTTTCTCTCCTTCAGAAATGTTTTCACTTTTTCCCGTCAGACGACTCGTCGCAGACTCACAACATTTTCACCAGTGATCGCAGGTCATGTGCAAATGCTACTAAAGAAATAGCGAATGGTCTGATGGGGGCGCTATAGTTAAGGCTCAAATATTCAATTTTGGCCCTAAGTCCAATTGACTTGAAATTGAACACACATGTGCAGCTAAACGTGCTCTACGAAAACTCTGAGAACCATTAAAGTCCGTCTGAGCAGATTTTGTGTGAAATAATTCCTAAACCGGTCAGTAGGGGGCGCCACAAGTTCCAAACAAGTGCACTGACTCATAAATCAATGACAGTTTGTTCAAACATTAACAAACTTGATTCTTTTTTTTAAACTAAGCTGCTGAAGCATTGCCCAAAATGTTTCTGCAGTTGACCGCGGCAGAGTTTACAAAGACGCGCGTGGCGCGGCAGAGATTTGGATGTTAACGAATGAGCATCTGTCCAATTGTCTTTAAACCTTTAACCATTAGATCCCTTAATGCAAAATATCTCTTACCACAAATATACCCTATTTTATATATTTGATCCCCATTTTATCGTCTGCACTGTTTAATTCTTGTTTTTTAAATATATATATTCAACGAGCGTTGGTGGACGACTGCTCCTCTGTAACTGTTCATGTGACAATAAAGAACTTTAAACTTGAACCGCAGCCTCATAGCTCAGTGGAGGAAAAAGCAAAACTAAAACAGTGATGAAATAATCCTGATCCAGAATCAGTTGGTCAGTTATGTGAATATAAGACACATTGGTTACAAAATCTGACTCATCAATATCAATGCCCCGGTACAAACACTCGTCAGTCGCTCAGTGAGGAACATGAATCTTGAGTTTGTTCTGACTCGTACATTCAGTGTGTCGAAACATTGACGGTCCATCCAGGTGTTCTCCCAAACACCACACTGATCCGAACATCCATCAATCAATCCATCAATCAATCAATCAGCAGGGTGACACAGACATGCAGGCCTGGCTGTTAGCGACAGACGGATGGAAGCTAACGAGCCTCAGCCTCAGTTTGTCTCTCTTGTATTAGCATTAGTGCTACATGCTGATGACCATCCAGTCCTGTCCACCTAATTCCAGGTCCCTAATGAGTGCCTCACTGAATCCTGGGCGCAACTTTCGGTGCTGAACCCGAACCAGCATTTTCCAAAGGTAACAAGCTAAGGGCACGCTGATCATCTCCCGCAGAGTTATTGTGAAATAAAACGTGAAACACGCCACCTGTTCAGACGGGATCAGGAGTTCTTTATGTGGTAAGTCTCCTAATATCAATGCACTAGTAGTATTCTTGTACGTGTGCTAATTCAATATTTCTTGGGACTAAATTGGCCCACTTTTTAGTTTATAACAGTACACTTATAAGTACACTTGAAGTAGAAGTTTTATTTTGAACTGCAGCTATACTGTGAACTATACTAACAGTGTACTAGTGATATACTTTAAAGACATACCTTTGAGTTTCTGAAAGTGTTCTTTGAGATATACCACAAATAAACTTATAAACATACTGTGAGTTTACACTTTTACTTTATTAAAGTTAGACTTTAAAGTATTTTCTCAGTAAATTAGGAGTTTAGTAGTTTTTATACTGCAAGTATACCTGCGACTTTTCTTTAAGTGTCTCCGTCATGACGATGTTGGTGTGAGATGTTTAGAAGACGTTGGATTTTGGTTACTTAACAACACAAAACCCACAAAATATCAATGTCATCTGTCGTCAATATTCTACGTCCAACTGATGCTGACATCAGACGTCCTGACACTGAGTTCATTCTTCCATGAGCTCTGACTGAACACTTCTCCGCTCTCTGAACTCTTTTGGTTTTATTATTCCTTTCGTCACTCTGAGCATGTGAAAATGTAGAGCTCAGGTTGTGCACCAAAACAGTGGACAGTGTGTGCCGTCTTTACGTTCATGTCCTTGGGCAACAAAAGAATGTGGTTAGTTCTATAAAAACATCACGGTTGGACTCAGCACTCACACAGGAAGTGAACAGCAGGTTCCTGGGTGAACGTATGGAGTTTGTTGGAGTCATCCATCTGAGCTCCTTACATTACTGCGTATTAATAGACAGTCAATGTGACGACCTAGCTTACTGCTATCTCACCACAAGTTGCACCCATAATCATTTGTACCTCGGCACCCTCGGGAATAAGGTGGACAGAAGATAACCTGACAGAAGGAGGTTTAACAACTCGTCCTGCTGTTCTGAAGGAATGTCAAAGATCCTCAAAGACTCTTCGAACCTTCAGGATGAAAAATGACCGAGCAGCAGAGTTCAGACAGGAATGAGATCATCGGGAGGGAAACTGACGAGCAGAAGCTCCACAATGAAAAGGAAACCAGTGCAAATATTAACAAAGAAAAAGATGAATGATGAAACAAAAAGCTTCAGAACAGCAGGAAGTAAAACACCTTCTGGGTTCAGATTGATTTCCAATGTCATGCTAATACAAACTGAGGCTCAGTGATGCTAAGCTAACAGTGCTAATGTGTGTGTTGGACGTTAGCTAGCATCTAATCTAGTGGACAAGAACACAGGATGAAAACCAAGAAGGCGTCTTACCTCGTTAAGCTGTCCGATCACATTAATTAGTAAAGGGGAAGCATGGAGGGAGATAACAAACATCAGCTGACGTCGGCTCGTTATTCATCTACTCAGCCGCTAACATCAGTCATCAATACATCAATCATTCAATCAGTCATCAATACATCAATAATTCAATCAGTCATCAATACATCGATCATTCACTTACAATCTTCACAACAGGATAAGAACCACATGAACAATCTTCAGACTCTCATCCTTCCATTTATTTTGAAATCAGCCTGCGATTGCTTTTCATCGTGGATTCGTCTGCGTTTTATTTTCTCTGTTTATAGTTTTGACAATAAAGTGACAGGAAGTGATGAAACGCTGTTCAGGACCCAAAGTCTGAAAAACAGTCCAAAACCTCAAATTGTTCACGTTATTATCATAAGTGATGAAGAAAAGCATCAAATTCTGACATTTAAAATAAAACTTCACCCACAAAACGAACATTTCTACGTCAGTTACTCTCCGAACGTGATGGTTAATTCATGAGGAACACTTTCTCTCACGTCTCCACCAAGACTCCAGAAACAGGAGAACATTCGTTATCATTGGGCTGTGTGTACAAAGAGTGCCAAAATTCGTACATAGTTAAGTACAAAGTTAGGTTAAGAAGGAAACAGGAAGTGGTCTTACAAGGAGGCAGGTTGGGGGTCGATGGGTCACAAAACACAGGACTTTCCCTTAGGAGACATGTTTGGAATTGGTATGTGATTACCATGATTCCTTCGCTAAACCTAAGCTCTGAAACATTACATTAATTACGTAACTTTATGTTAGGTAGAAACCATAGACTTTCCCCAGGAGACACGTATTCATGACCAAACTTTGAGTCATTTTACGTACATCGTCACCATGTTTCTTTTTCTAGAGCTAACCTCATACTTTCCCTCGCCACTTTCCCCTGGAGCCATGTTCAGAACATTGCAAACTTTGAGTCTATACCTAAATCTAACTTGCGTACCTTTAAATTAATTATGTACGTTTATGTTAGGTAAAAACCACAGATTTTGTTTGGAACTGGACTTTCAGTCTTTTTAGGTGTCGTCATCATGTTTCTTTTCCTGAACCTGACCTCTGTAACTTTACGTTAATAACACAAGTTTACGCCATGTTTCTTTTCCTTGACCTAACCACAGTGACTTTATGTTAATTATGTAAGTTGACATTATGTAAAATCCGTGTTCGTGTTCGTAACTGTGGGAACTTTGAGTCTAAACTTAAATTTAACCTCGCTAACTTTATGTTAAGTACATAATGTCATTTGTGGGGCATTGATTCAGAGGATATCGTATGAACCGTTGTATGAAGATAATGTCTGTTTATAAACTCTCACAGAACTAAAAGTCAAACTTTCAGTCACGATAAGTCAAGAAATCAATATGTTTGCTGTGGAGACATAAAACAATGTGTCTTCATGACACGTCACATTTTGTGTGAAGTTTTTTGGTTGGACTGAAACCATTATTCAATTACTGAAATAGCTGCTAATAATTTTTTCTGTTGATCGACTGATTGATCAACTCTTGTTGCAGCTCTGTTTAAAAGATGGTGTCGCTGATTTCCATGTGGCTCAGATCCTTTTCTGTAGGTATGAATAATGAGCTGCTCACGAATCCACAACACGACCGCAGAGCAGACGATTTAAATGTTAATGAAACATTCAAACAAAAAACAACAGTTCACAGATTGTTCACATTTCAAACAGTTCATCAGTGACTATGTTTCCAGGAACATCAGCCTCATCACTCTGATGGCGTGTTCACACCCAACGCCATGCACGTGTTTCACGCAGCAGGATTACACACAGAGTTGATGCAAAGACACCGAGAGATCTGATTTACTTTAGTCGATGTATAGATTTGACGTATAGGATAAGCGGTTACAGAAATGAATGAATGAATGTCACAGCAGCGCATCACCACTTCACTGCCTTCTGTTCTTTACCTTTCACAATAAGAGATCAACTTAAATTACTAGCTGTTTAGGTTGTGCACAAAAATATAAATGTTTAAACTTGTGTCAGTACGGAGCATAACAAATCGTTAGCTCGCTTTATTTCATTGAAACCATGAGCACCAGAGAAGATCGTGATTCACTCAGATTTCCCTGCATGACGAAAAAACAAAGTGACTCCATACGTTTCCTCTGAAGCTGTCATAAAGTCAGATTATGTGTCTGTTCCTGGATTATTCTGTAAATTATTCATCTTCCTTCAGTCTCTAAGAGTCCTCACATCTCAAGAACCAAAAGGGTTTTTTATCCAGATTAATCACAGTTATGAGGATAAAGTGTTTAAATTTCTATACAGTAATATTCAGACTGGTTTAGAGGAAACAATCTGATCACATTTCCTGATCTTTGCTGAGACACAGTTTGTGTGAGATGTTGAGTTCAGTGATTGAAGCTAATGATAGCCCGGGCCATTACTTGAAGTTTTTTAAGGTATCTTCAAACTGGTATATCACTGAAATCCTACGAGTCGATCGACTGCAGCAGCGTAGCTTTGCATATGGACACGTCTCAAGATCTATGGTTGACCTCACAACAATTTACTGACAAAACATGTTCTGTGTTTTTAGAAGACAAAAAATGTATTTTTATCATTAAACGCATTTCAACGTGCTGTCTGATGCTCCCACCCCCCGCAGGTACCATGAAACGGAGTCAGAACTCACAAGTACTCTTAATGTAAACGTGAGACGGCTGCGGCCTGATACGTTGTGCCTTGCCAAAAATTAGGAGGTCCTCTGATTACAGTCAGAGTCCAGAGAGAAGGAGACAATGAAAAGAGCAGAGGTGATGGACAAAAGAAAAGTGAAGAAGTGAGCCAGAGCCTTCAGCTATCAGGCTCCTCTCCTGTGGAATCATGTCTCAGTCTCTCTCTCAGTCTCTCTCTCAGTCTCTCTCTCAGTCTCTCTCTCAGTCTCTCTCTCTGTCTCTGTCTCTGTCTCTGTCTCTCTCTGTGTGAGTGGAGCGTGTGTGGAGGAGCTGAGCGAAATTGAGTGTTTTTTTCTCTATTTCTATCTCTTTTTGCGATATATTTTCGGTGTGGTGTGTTTATGAACATAGCTGTGTTAGTTTCGTGTTACTTTTAGTTGTTTTTCTCTCAGTTAGTTTTAGTGTTTGTTTGTCTTTTGTTTGTCAGTCACGCTCTGAGGAGCTGGGTATGGCGTCCAGTGGCGTCTTCTCCAGGCTGACACGGAAGCACGGCATCAAAACTGGTGCCGGCTCTCAGTGCAGTGTGGAGGAGGTTGCTCTGGCTGTTGGAGAAGTCATCGGGCACGGCTCTGTGAAGTCCGCTGCCCGCATGAATAGTGCGGTGGTCCTTTTCCTGGAAAAGGTGGAACAGGTGAACAGGTTGGTGGAGACGGGCATCACGGTGAACGGGATGTTTGAGCCGGTGACACCGCTGACACTGCCTGCCACAAAAATCACTTTGTCAAACGTGCCACCTTTTATAAGTGATGAGTTCCTGGTCAAAGAGCTGTCCAGACACGGAAAGGTGGTGTCACCGATAAGGAAGGTGCTGTCAGGCTGTAAGTCTCCTCTGCTGAGACACGTTGTGTCTCACCGCAGACAGCTCTTCATGATACTTAATAACAAAGACGAAGATTTTGATTATCGCTTCAAAGTCCGTGTGGATGATTTTGACTATATTTTATTTGCAACTTCATCCGCTGTAAAGTGTTTCGGATGCGGTGAAGAGGGACACTTAATCAGGGCTTGTCCTGGCCGCGGCGCTTCGGCGTCCCCAGCCACGGCCGCAGGGGCGGCGGCCGCTGCTGAGCCGCCCGCTACTGTGTCGGGGCGGGCGGTGGGTGCCGCCGCTGCCGCTGCCGTCGACTGACCCGTTCCGGCTGCGCGGCGTACGGCCGCGGTGGCCGGCGGGGGGGCCGGTGCTGCGAGGCGAGGAAAAGATGCAGGAGTTGGAGAGAAACAGCAGGTTGCAGAGATGCAGAGCCAGGCTGGAAAGTGCACTGAGGTGAGTGGTGAGAGGGGGGAGGTGGCAGGTAAAGGTGAGGTGACAGGGGATACTTCAGGTGAAGTGGCAGGTGAGCTGGGCAAGGATGGTGTGGGGAAAGAGGCAGGTGAGAGTATTGGTGAAGTGGGTGAGGGAAACAAAATAGCAGGTGAGCTAGAAGAGGTAGGTGAACCAGGTGAGGTGGAAGAGGCAGGTGAGGCTGCAGGTGAGTTGGGTGAGGCAGGGAAAGTAACAGGTGAGCAGTGTAAAGGATTAGAGGTCGCTGGTGAACAGTGTGAAACAGGTGAAGTGACAGGTGAGGTTACAGGTGAGCTGTGTGAGACAGACAAACCAACAGGTGAGCTGTGTGAGGGGAACACAGCAGCTGAGGAGATGGAGGCCTGTGAGGCTGGGTGGGTGTCTGCTCCTCTGAAGCAGCGCAGCAAGAGGAGAAGCCTGTTGACTGTGGAGGTCGGCGGTAAAGCTGGGCAACTGGCAGGTAAACCGAGCGCTGCAGAGAACAGAGCAGCTCTGTCTGACAACAGTGACAGTGAAGGGTGTGTGTCTGACAGCAGCGACCTGTCTCACACTCAGCAGACTGCTGCTCAGGTGTACCCTGCTGGTAAACTGAAATTGTTTTTACAACAGACCAAAGGGTCGAGGAAGGTGCCACTAGAACAGCACTTTCCTGATTTGCAGGGTTTTTATAATTCATCCAGACATGTTGTTAAACACAGAGCCGAGTCAGACCTGACAGACCAGGAAGTGTTCAGATTGAAAAAACTGATCATTAAAGTCAGGAAACAACTTGCTTTTTAATGATAATGAATGAACAGACTTTATTTTTATTTATTTCACTGATTGTTTTTAGTCTTGTTCTTAACATCTCCATCATTATGGATGTTTTTAAAGTAGGCAGTTTGAATGTTAATGGTGCTAGAGAGACACGAAAGAGGGCAGTAGTGTTTGAAATGGCCAAACTAAAACACATTGATGTTCTGTTTCTCCAAGAAACACA